GAAGTACGCCAAGGACACGCGCTACTGCACCTCCGGCGTGGCCACACATGACAAGTGAGTCCCTGGGGCAGGAGGACCCACTCCTGCGGGCCCAGCAGTTGGGCTGCCTGGCTCACCGTCTCACCCTTCCTCACAGGAACACCATGGAGGCCCTGCCAGCCTGCCTGCTCAAGGACGTGTACCAGGAAGCACTGGGCTCTGCGGTCATCGGCATTGATGAGGGCCAGTTCGTAAGTGCATGGCCAGGGCAGGTCCTGGGGAGCTCTGCAGGATACAATCTTCAGAGCACCCTGTGCAGAAGGTCTGAATCCTCTGTAGGAGGGGATGGGAAGAAATACCCTGGGGCAGGTTGATCCTGCTGGACTATGCTCATATAGTCAAACCCTTCCCTGCCCTTAGTCCCTGCAGGCTGAGGACAGTGGGCCTGGAGTCCCTTTCACAGATAGGCAACATGGCTTTAATTTTCCTCGTGCTCTGTGCCGCTGTCTGGGCACGTGCCACTGGATCCCGAGCGAAGTGCTGCCCCTTCTTCCTCCTGACGCTGTTTCTGTACCTCCTCTAGTTCCCAGACATCGTGGAGTTCTGTGAGATGATGGCCAATGCTGGGAAAACTGTCATTGTTGCTGCTCTTGATGGGACTTTCCAGAGAAAGGTAAAACACTTTTTTTAGTACAGCAGCTGCTTTGGGATCCTTGTAGAACCCATTCAACAGAACCGCTCCTGCTGTCTTGGCACAGGCCTTCGGGAGCATCCTGAACCTGGTGCCGCTGGCAGAGAGCGTGGTGAAGCTGAACGCCGTGTGCATGGAGTGTTACCGAGAAGCCTCCTACACAAAGAGGCTGGGAGTAGAGAGGGAGGTGAGTTCCCTTGGAACAGAAAGCACTTCAGTAGCTTCATCTTGCCAGTCCTGCTAGTCTAGAGGGATCTCCTCAGGGGAACTGGGCTCTGCAGAGTTGTTCTCCCAATTTTCTTGCCAGGTTGAAGTGATTGGAGGAGCAGACAAGTACCACTCCGTCTGCCGAGCCTGCTACTTCCGCAAGCGGCCTCAGCAGCCGGGGTCGGAAAACAAGGAGAACATGCCCATGGGGGTGAAGCAGCTGGACGTGGCTGCCTCCCGAAAGATCTTTGCTTCTTGACTGCTGGGGTCCCACATGGGGAAAAATGAGAAGAAAGACGCTAAATGCTGTGGCTCCCAGATGCCAGATCTGGCTTCCCCTGCTTTTGTCAAAACTCTTAAGTGTCTTAGCTCTACCTGCCAAACCAAGCCGCTGTTCCTCTGCACCAAGCGCCAGGAAAGAGGAGGATCAACTGGACCTGATGCCGGCGGGAGCTGAAGCGGGAGCATGACTAAAAGTGAGTTCCTTTCTCAGAACACGGAAAAGAGACAGGTGTAGTTACTGATGCTGCCGCACAAACAGGTGCTGGAAAACTGTCACAGGCAAACCATCACTCGCCATAGTTCTGGCCTGCTCTCCTGGTCTTCTGCGTATGTTCAGACTGGCACTGGTGGCTGATTTACTTGCCTGCGAACGCAACTGTTCCTTTAGCTCTTGTGCACTGTTGCTAAATTCCAGGTTTCTTAAGACAATGTACAGTAACTTAGTATTTTAAACCCACTTCCTTTTTTAACGCAGTCTGAGGAGATAACCCGTTCTTTGTCATAGAGCTGTGGCACAACTTTTCAACTGACACATGTAGCAGCAGCCTGGCCCTCAGCAGTCCCTTTGAACGATTGTGTACGGCCTCTCCGTTTGCTGTTACTTGCTGTAACTGTCTTGTAAATTTTTGTTGAAACAGAAGAGGAGGGAAAGGAAGGCTTGACTTGATGGCCTGACAGTAGGCTCTTCCTAGCTTTCGAACTTTAAAAGGGCTAGCAGTAGTCTGGTAGTCTGGTAGTCTAGTCTGTGTATTAAGACAGAGTCCTTCTGGAAGAACTGGACTTCACTTCAGGAAGAGCCTCCTCTCCAAGATCAGGGTGTTTTTGCTCAGGTCCAAGCTTGGTGCTGCCACTTCAGTGCTTAGTTACCTGTGAAGGGTTTGGAGGCTCAGGACTTCATCTGTAGAGTTTTGGGCTACTGTTTCTGTGAAGATCCGTCTACTTGGAAAAGGGCGTCTGCTTTGAGTGGATGGTTCTCAACTCTAGTCATGTATCTTGCTCCCTCCTGAGCCTTTCAAAAATTCTCACAGCTGATTCTTCCTCTGATGTAAGTTGACTGAAGGATCCAATTCCCCCTTTGCTTGACTTGGCTTCTGGAAAGTTTGGGGTTTTTTTCCTCACTCCTTGCAAAAGTGCTTTTCTCTGTAAGCCAGCTCCAAGCAGCAGCTCTTGGTTCTGGCCAGGTCAAATCTCCACGTGCAAGCCCAGTGCTCTCTGTTTGCCTACACCCTCCAGCTAGGAGGAGGCACCTCCCCAGAAGGTTACAAGAGCCATCTGAAAAACCCCTGCTCCCTCTGCATTACTTGAAGTGATGACAGTTGTAGTACTCACAAGCACTTGATTGCCAGTCCTGGGCTTTCCCCTTAGGGACAGGGAAGGCAGCACTGCTACTGGTTTAGGTTAATAAATAACTTAATGAAATTGCTTCTGTGTGTTTTATACCAGACTGCTCTGAAAAGGCTTCCCTGCCGTGAACACTGTGCAAACAGTGCAGGCTGATCACTCACAGCAGCAGCCTGGGCTGCGCGGCTGGTTGCAGGGGTGGTGGTTGAGCTGTCTGCTCAAACCTACCAGACTCTGCGAGGAGCAGGAGGAGGGCTTGCCTAAAAATAGCACTAGCATGAGTGTGCTGTTTGCAGCGCAGCAGTTGGCTGGGGCTGCTCTGCTGCTTCCCTGCCAGGAACCCCCCACCCCAGCCCTCGGGGAGAGAGGAGGAACCCTGTTTTGCTTCCCTAGAGAAGAAAGGCACATGGTGACTAGGTGAAAAAGTTTATTCCACTTCTACAGTGACAAACAAAGAACTACTTGAACACCAGCCCCAGCAGCGACGGCTCGCATACCACACACTGCTGCTGGGAACAGCTTCACAACAGGTGCAGCAGAAAAAACAACCTGAGACAGCCAGCCTGCACAGGCGCCGGAGTGGCACCCTGGGTCACCCTGTGAGCAGGGTGCTGCCGAGGGGAGCAGCAGGCAGGATGCGGGATGGCGGCCTCGCGTGTGCGGAGGCAATACTTAGTGGAAGGCAAGCGAGGTGTGCCGAGTACCAAGCCAGCAGGGAAAGCACTCCAGGACCATCCTCAGACATCTGGAGCAGCCACGGCCCTGCTGAGAGAGCCCAGCACTCGCCGCTCCCACGGATCCCAAACCATGTCATCCGAGCACCGGCAGCTCTAGTGCAGGCTGTGAGAAGGCACAGGATGGGAACTTACTATCAAAAGAAGGCAGGGCTTTGGCATCAAGCTCACCCAGCAGCAGCTGAGGGGGAAAGGCACGGGAAGCCGGTGGCAGGCAGGAGCTGGACCGCACCGCCCAGCTGTGCTACGGCAGCAAGAGCCGGCACTTGAGGGGTTGCAGCCAGCGGGGCTGGAAAGGCACTGGTGCCAGGACGGGCCGGGGCAGCAGTCACAAGGGCACAGCCAGGCCAGAGCCGGGGGGTGCAAACCACACACCCACCCCGTTGCTTCCCCAAGGGCACAACAGTAAGGGCAGGCACTTGGCATCGCCAGGGCCGGCCCCAT